GAGCACTGATGGAGGAGCACTGTGAGCTGATGCTGACCAGAGCACTGCTCGGGGCCTGCTGAGTGAGCCTTAGTAAAGAAGCTGTGGGATCTGAGGAGGGGCTGAGCCCAAGCCTGGTGCCCCGAGTGCTGAGAAGGGACCGGAGGCTGGAGGAGCAGGTCAGGAGCTGTACCTGTGCAGCCTTCGTCATGGCTCATTTGACTGTCAGTGACTGTCTCTGCTCTCCAGGGCTGCTCTACAATGACCTAGGCATGGGTCACTTCCAACTTCAACTGTTTCCTTTGGCTATAGAGGCCTTCCTGCAGACCCTACCCTCCTGTCAACAGCCAGCAGACCAGGCAACAGTGTTTCAAAACCTTGGAATGACCTACAATGTCCTTGGCCACTATCAAGAAGCCAAGGAGTTTCACCAGTAGACTGCCAATCAGTATGGTGGGTGTCTAGGACTGGAGAGTGAGGCCAAGACTAAAGGATTAAGAAGAGGTTTCAGGACTGGGAATATGTACAGCTGGAGCACTTGCCTAGCATACACAAAGCCATGAACTGAGTTCCAGAACTACATACACCAAGTGTGGTGGTGTGTGTCTGTAATTTTGGTACTCAGTAGGTGGAAGCAAGAGAGGCAGAAGCTTAAAATCATCCTTGGCTACATATCAAATTCAAGGCCAGGTTGGGTTACATGGTATCTGTCAAAAAAGAAAAAGAGGGGCTGGAGAGATGGCTCAGCAGTTAAGAGCACTGACTGCTCTTCCAGAGGACCCAGGTTCAACTCCCAGCACCCACATGGCAGCTCACAACTGTCTGAAGATCCAGTTCCAGGGGATCTGACACCTTCACACCAATGCACATAAAATAAAGTTAAATAAACCATAAAAAATATTTTTTTTAAAAAAAGAATAAGTTTCCAATGGGCCTGGTGGTGCCCTAGGGTTTGGAGGAGCCTGGGGACCTGGAGGAGAGAATTGGGTGCTATGTCTGTACAGCTGCACACCCAGTAGCCTTGGGTGGATGGATCTTTGGGACCTTCTGGCACTACTTGAAATGGGAGAGTGGACAGAGCAAAGGGCTGTAGGCTCAGCGGCCTGGGTCAAGAGGCCAGAAGTGCTGCCCTGGATCTCCTCAACTGAGTGTGACCTTTAGCAGCAACACCAAATGGGACTACCAGACTATGAAGGGCTGGTGAGGTGGCTCAGCAGGGAAGCAGCCAGCCTGAGCGCACTCCCCAGAGCCCGTGCTGATGAAGGGGAGCACCTATTCCCAGAAGTTGTCCTCAGACTTCCACCTGTGCACACACACACCCACAGAATAAATGTGGAAAAATGAAAACAATGGGGGTGTAGCTCGGTGGTAATGTGCCTGCCTGGCATACACAGGGCCCTGGATTCCATTCCCAGCACTATAAAAACAAACAAATAAAAAATTAAACCCAGCCTCCACACCACATAAGTGGGACTGTAAATATGACCTGGGTGCCTTCCTAAATAGATTTTTTCCTTCAGGATATGGTGGAAAATCGCTGCTGCTTCAACCCTAACACTCTAGAAGTAGAGACAGATTTCTGTGAATTACACCAGTCAGGTCCTACATAGTGAGAAGTGGTTTTATGTTTTTATTATTGTTGTTGTTTTGCTTGTTTTAAACTATTAATCTGACCTTGACTGACTCCCTGGCTCCAGCTGGCCAGGGAGGCATTTAGGGTAAAGCTTGAGGTGAGAGAGGCTAAAGCTGGACAGCCTGGGCCTTCGTGGGTCACCTAGGGGTACTGAGGCTCGGCTCTCGGAGCCTGGGACCCTGCCTTGTTGGGGGCAGGGTATCGATGCTCCAGCAACCAAGCCCCTATACAGATGGATGTGTTCTGGTTTCAGGCTCTGTGGGCCAGCGGTTGGAACAAGGTCGGAGCTTGGGTGGCCTGGCATTCTCACTGAGCCAACTGGAAGACCACAGGGCTGCTTGGGACAGCTATTTGCATGCCCAAGAGACTGGTAAGAATGAGGAGTTAGTTTGGAACTGGGCGGGGGGGGGGGGCCCAAAGACAGGATGCACACGCTGGAAGGGTCTGTGGAACAGGGAACATGGAAAGATCTTTCAAGCTCTCCTCCTTAGGGGACAGGAAGGGACAGTGGCCTGTAAGGGCCTTGGGGAAGCTTGCTGGACTCGGGCAACATGACCAGGCCTTGAAATACTATAAGAAGGTGCTGGCCCAGTGTCAGGTGAGACCCTCCATGATGGCCCTGACTCTTCCTGCTCTTCCTCCTCCAGAAACTGTCTCTGGCTGACCCTGCGGCCTTTGTTCCTTGCCCTGCCTCATAGTTACTCACTAGAAACACCATCCATTCCAGGTCCTGGGCTGTTACTTGGAGAAAGAGGCAGTCTGCCCACAGTTCAGGGCTCGGGGACTCAAGGGCATGGGGTCAGGGCACAAAAAAAGGCAAACGGAGTTCTTGTGCTTTCTTTCTGTCCCCTTCCTCCTCCTGCAGATTGCACAGCCCCGTCCATTCCCACTCCCCCACTTCCCCCTTTCCCCAGCATGAGCCAGGTTCTGTGCCGGAAGGGCTTGTAGCCAAGCTGGTGGGTGCCATGAGGACCTTCTTGGCTCAGTCCAGGTAATATGACACCTGAGACCAGGAGGTGGGATCAAGTTGCCCAGAAAGGATGCTCTCAGGGATGCCACATTTAACTGCTCCTGTGTTCATCTGCCTCTGGGTTTGCAGGAGGGATGTATGTATATCAGGTTGTGGGGGTGGGGCAGGGAGGTGGCAGGAGATTGTGTCTGCACAAGAGCTGTACCACAACAGCTTACCCTGACTGAGAGGTAAATCCACTGGGTGCGAAGACTTGGGAATCGGTCATTGGGTGCAGTTCCCTAAATGGCCACAGGAGGGGGTGGTGCTCCAAGAAAGCTCCAGAAGCTGAACACTCCAGGTTCCCCTAAACTCTGCCTCCGGCTCATTTTGCTTCCTAGTTTCCATCTGCAGGTCATGGGCCCTCCAAATGCTTTTCCCCATAGGAAACTTACCCCCACCCCAAAAACTGAAATCTATGCTTTGTTATAGGGTTGAATGGGTTGAATGACAAATGAAATGTTGTTGTTTTGTTTTGTTTGTTTGTTTGGTTTTTGAGACAGGGTTTCTCTGTGTACCCTTGACTGTCCTGGAACTCGCTCTGTAGACCCCGAACTCACAGAGATCCGTCTGCCTCTGCCTCCCAAGTGCTGGGAATTAAAAGCGAGCACCACCACCGCCTGGTGTCCTCTTCCTTTAAAGACCGGGACACTGTGTAGTCTCTGAGCACAATTAAATTCACCTGAAGCAGGGAGTGTGGTTCAGTTGTAGAACGCTTGCCCAACATATGTAAAGCTTGTTGTTTTTCCGTCAGTGGGGTTGAGATTTTTTAATCTGTTGCTGTTTTAGCCAGCAAACACAGCTCCACAGTTACTGGCTTGTCTCTCCGGCAGTGGCCCCGGCTGGTGAGAATTCTGTTCCCGCAGGCACCGGCTATGTTACTGTTGCCAAATACAGCTTTCAGTTAAGTTGTTCTATTTATCAGTAAGACTCGGGGGTCAAAGGCTGCGGTGAAAACCTGCTAGCTCAGAGAGGCCGAGGAGCATCATTCTGCTCACCAAAACAAAAGAACCCCAGCTACCTTGAGTCCCCCCTACTTCCTCCTGCGCACCTCTCTACTGTCTCACAGACACCCTATGACTCTCTGATTGACTTCTGTCAACTAGTTGATAACTCAGCCTCCTGACCCAAGGTTGATTTTATTTAATTAATGCAAATGCAAACTTGGAGTTTACAGTGTGATCAGATATCCCACAACAGAGGCCCTAAATTCAGTTACCACACTGGGGGGCAGAGGTACTTATCCGGAACAGGCGGGGGCTTGGATTAAAAGTCAAAAGACTTGGGGTCCAGTTAAGGTCTCTCACCAGCTCTGACAGTACCGGAAGGCTTCAGGCACGACAGGGTAGCGGTCAGATTATGGTTTGGTCAGCAAGCCTGGTTTGTCACGTAAGATTTAGTAGGTAGGCCTTTATAGATCGAAGGACTCATGTCAGAATTTGATTCTCAGAACCCCCCTGGGCTGTCTCCAGCAAGTAGGTCTGTGGCGGGGATGTTCTGGTTCCCTGAAGGCAGCGGGCAGGACAGTGTGACAGCCAAGTAGCGATTTTTTCCATATGAGAGTCTGTGCTTCCCTAGCCCTCTGCTCCGAGAAGGCTCAGGCCAACGGCAAGGGCCTCTACTAGAGCACAAAGCCGTGCAGAAGATGCCCAGGACAGGTGAACCAAAGCAGGCCTGGAGAGGTGGAAGAGGGTTTGCTGGCCAGAGGTGGAGAGCTGGCCAGTGGGCTGTCCCACAGCTGGGCCACATTCAGTTCTCTGTCCCTGAAAACCTTTCAGTAGGTGGGAAGATGAAAAACCAGGAGAGGGCCTTGAGGAGAAAGAGACGGAGGGACTGGTGAACATGACCCTTTGGTAGAACCTCAGAGACAGGACCATGAGTGGAGGGAGTGGGAAAAACATGGCCCACTCCTGAAAGTCAGAACTCTCTCTCCTGGTACCCCCACCCAGGCCTGCCACCCATCCCTGGATCCCCAGATTGCCCCCTGCCTTCCCACATTTCTGCTTGTCTCCTCAGGGCCTGGTCCATCTCCCCCAAGCCCTTCCCAGATGTGTGTTCCCTCCTGTCCTGTGGCTTTCATTTCCTAACACCTTAGGATGGAAAGCCCACTCTGCTGGGGGACAATGGTTTTACCCTGTAAACATTTGTTTCTTGCACTTGTTTAATAAAATGCTGATTGGCCAGTAGCCAGGCAGGAAGTATCAGCAGGGTGACCAGGCAGGAAGTAGAGGCAGGGTAATGAGAACAGGAGAATTCTGGGAAGAGAAAGAGTCAGTCTGCAGTCATCATTCAGACATAGAGGGTGCTAAGATGTGACTGCCTCGCCAAAAAAGATACCAAGCCACGTGGCTAACACAGACAAGAATTGTGGGCTAATATAAGTTATAAGAGTTAATAAGAAGCCTGAGCTACTAGGCCAACCAGTTTATGATTAATGTAGACCTCTGTGTGTTTCTTTGGGACTGAATGACGCAGGACAGGGTGGGACAGAAACCTCAGTCAATACTGCTCCATGTCAGGTACCATGCTGGGCCTTGCTTCTTATTAGACTGTCCCAAAGGCCTTATTACTTGGTGAGCTGGCTTGAACTACTGATAAGTTCTTTTCGGTGTGTTCCCTTCTGACACAGGAGCCTATACCACTGTCAGTAGACGGCCCGTGTTTATCAAGCATCTGGTCCATACAAGGCATCCTTCATGAAGTAACCGATTCATGCCTGGACATCCACCCCATTTGACCCCAGCCCTGCCACCTCCCTCCCACTGTGCTGTCCTGGTCATGACGAGGCCTGTAATAAATGGATCTGACCTTCTCCATCAGGCTTAGGGGCCACTGTTCATCTTCCAGCTGGAGGCCTCAGTCCCAGTGGAGTGGAGCACCCCTCCATCTGGTGGGTCATCACAGCACCCAACAAGCTCCAAGTCAGTAGGTAGGTTCCTAGGGGAGGGGTGGAGGCTGGGGAATGGACGGCACAATAAAAGAAATAACTTGAAGTGGTTGTAAGGTTGAGAGGAGAAAGGCGCTAGTGTTTGGCGGTATGCCTGGCTCCTGCGCAGCCTGCCTGCAGGCCTGGGAAAAGCAGAGTCCTGAGGAAGATAGGGATGAGATGCTGCGAACAGGGAGCCGCCTCCTATGCTTCCCCAGTGCCCAGGGCAGGCCTCTCTGCCTCTGTTAGGCCATCCATGTGGACCAAGGAAGCCCTCAGAAGGAACCCTCAGAGGACATGCAACCATTCTGGCTTCTGCATGATCATGTGACTTGCACCTGCTGACCACAGCTCTCACCCCAGCAGGAACTTCTCAATATATGCATTTAGGGGCTCTGGGGAAGGAACCTCTTTAGCTGGGTATGGACATAGCACCCCTGAACAGGCAGACCAAGGTCTGTGCTGGCTCAGCATTAAGATTCTCTTTGCTCCTCTTGGGGAGTCTATAACTCATTAGATAAAAGAAAACTATAAAATGGTTGGTGGACACTGATCTTTGCTTTTCTGGATTAGGATGTCATAACTGCTAAGGCCTATGTCAGTTCTAAAAGTGACTTCCTAGCTCAGCTGACCTTGGGACCACTGACCTTCTCCGTGTCCCCTTTTCTATAGTTCTGTAGTGGAGAACAGACGCTCCACTACTGACACCTGCAGGACACCCCAGGTCACAGCCGCAATAATGACAATAGTGACATTTACTAGGCCTACACCACAGCCTAAGCACTTACAGGTGTTTACTCAGAGGAGCATGTGAGGGAGGAGAATTGGCATGATCCCAACACTCAGAAGGAGGCAGGAAGATCACCCCTTGAAGACCAGCCTGGACTACATAGTGAGATTTATCTTAAAAAGTAACAGAACAATTAGCGTGTAGCAGGCTTTCTTGGACTACCAGTCCCCAAATCATGACACAGAGACTTATTAGTTATGAATGTTTGGTCTTAGCTTACGCTTGTTTCTAGCTAGCTTTTTTTTTTTTAACTTAAACTAAGCCACTTCTATTGATCTATGTGCTGCTCCGAGGCTCATTTACCTCATCTGCATACTGTCTGTCCTGCTTTCTACTTCCACCATGTCTGTCTGTCTGCCCACCAGCCCCGCCTATCCCTTCTCTGTCTACCTATCGCCATTCAGCTTTTTATTAGACCAATCAGGTGCCTTAGGCAGACAAGGTAAAACAGCAACACATCTGTGCATAGTGAAACAAAGGCAGCATAAACAAACACAACACTTCTTTACATAGTTAAACAAATATTTTATTTCACAACACTAGGGAGGCTGAGACCAGCAGATCTCTGTGAGTTTGAGGCTAGCCTGGTTTACATATCAAGTACCAGGCCAGCCAGGGCTATATGGTGAGATTTTGTCTCAAAAAAATAAAATGCAAAACAAAACAAAAATCTGACAACAAAACAAAACAAAAGGAGGCTCAAAGGCCAGGGGTTAAACTTCCAGTCACACGAACAGTCCCTGAGATGGACTCCGTGGTGCAGCCAGCAGTGCAGCCCCACCCCCACCCGAGCTGACCAGCAGGCTGCTAGGAGTTAGTGTAAAATGTGAATCCAGGACCTACATGTGAAAGGAATCTTTGTCCTACAAAGACTCATTCAAACTAAGTCATTTTTCTTATTGTTTCTGTTTACTTCACTTGTAGCCAGGGACTGAGGGCCTAACAGGGCATGGCGCTAAGTGAGCAAGCAATTCCTCCAGCACTGCTGCAAGCCAAGGTTAGTTGCTTCAAAACAACTGCAGCTGAATCAGATACAAGCCAGGAGGGATTTACCAAGTGATTCAGACCCTAAGCATCTGGAGTGATCTGGCACTCCACTTGCAAACTGGGGGTGCGGAGGGGTGGGGGAGACGGTTAAGAGCATTCATTGTTCTTCTGAGGACCCACATGGTGGGTCACAACCATTCATAACTCTAGGGGAACCAAGGCCATCTTCAGACCTGAGGGCATCAGGCACACACGTGAGTCACAGACATACACGTAGGCAAACACTCATACGATACAATAAAATAAATAAATCTAAAAATAAAGAGAAACAAACTGGAAATTGTGGGTGACAGGTAACTATTAAGGTTTGTATAAAAACATGATGAACATGGCTGGGTGGAGGTGGCACGTGCCTTTAATCCCAGACTCTGGAAGCAGAGGCAGTCAGAACTCTGAGTTCAGTGCTAGCCTGGTCTACAGAAGTGAATGGAGTGATAAAAAGGTGCAGGAGAGACCAAAGCAAGTCTCACGCTCATCCTTTCTCACTGTGCTGAGATTTAAACAGATGTGAGTCCAGCTAACATGGCTGGAGTGGGACTCTGTGGTCCAGAACTTGTCTAGCAAACAAAATGCCTGGAATTCCATCCCCAGCATTGTGCAAAGGAGACTGGGAGGGATCAGGGAGGTTGCCCACAGTTTCACAGAGAAAAAACACATTTTTTCTCTCTGAGACAGGGTCTCTCTATGTAGCCCTGGTTGTCCTGGAACTCACAATGTAGACCAGGCTGACCTCAAAATCACAGAGATCTGCCTCTGCCTCCTGAGTGCTGGGATTAAAGGTGTGCACCACCATGTCCAGCCTTTTTTAAAAATTCATAGTATCTATTCTGATCACGGTTTCCTGTTCCCCATCTTCTTCCAGATCTTCCCCATCCATCCAACTCTCTGCACCTTCTTTCTCTCTCTCAAATGATCAAATTAAAAAACAAAACACAAACAAAAAAGCACATATACACACAAACCCCAAAAAACACAAAAATGGAAACCGTAATTTACAAGCAAAAGACTAGTAAGATAAAAAAAAAACGCCAAAACAAAGCAACATAAGACAAAAAGTCTATAAAACACTGTTGAGCATTTGAGTTGGCCATCTACTGCCAGGCATGGGGCCTACCATTAACCGTGGTTAATATACCCAGGGAGACTTCTTTGGCAAAAACAGATTTTTCTTTGCCAGTAGTTGTCTTGGTTAGGGTTGGAAGATCATGTCTACTTTCTCCTCTCAGCACTGGGACCCTTGAACCTGTGCAGACCTTGGGCATGCCGCCACAGCCTCTATGAATTCACATGAGCATGGGCCCTGTGTCTGGACGACACTGCTTCCTTGGAGTCATCCATCAACTCTGGCTCTTACTATCTTTCTGCCTTTTCTGCATAGCTCCCTGAGCCCCGAAAAGAGGGTTTAGGACCGAGTGTTCTAATGTCTCTCACTTTCTGTACATTGTCCCGTTGTGAATCTCTGTGTAATTCCCATCTATTACAGGAGGAGCTTCTCTGATGATGACTGGGCAAGACACTGATCTCTGGCTCCAGCAGAATGTCATCAGGAGTCATCTTAATTCTGTGTTCCTTAAGCACTAGTGTAGTATTTGGTTCCCCAGGGCCATGGCCTCTCTGGTCTCAGGGGTGAATGCTCTAACTAGGCACCTCACAGTTTCTCTGTGTTCAGTGAGATGTCAACGCTGTGTTCTGCTGGAATACGTCCTTGCCATCCATTTGTGGAGAACAACTAATACACTTGACAAAAGCCCAGGTTGTCTGGGTGTTTCCTTTGGCCAACAAGTCAGTCAGATGTAATCCACTCTTGGTGCTGAAGGTTCATTTGGGGGTCAAAGGTGTCTGGTTGGGGCTCTGTCTTCCGT